GAATATTTAAAAGACTTGTACCTAACCACCCAGCTAGACTATAACTAATAACTTTTACTGATTCATCAAGGGCATTCTTAAATGAACCTGTTTTTCCCCTCAATAAGCACATTTTGGTAAAGACTATAATAACCATTGGCACAGCACCCCTATTTTATTATGTACTTACGTTCCAGCACTTTCAATCACTATCGTTTTGTGCTATCAATAGAAATGTTAACTTGGTGAGGCAAGCCCCTCAAATGATGTCTTAGTAATATTATACAATTAATGTTTTTATCTTATGACCCCCTGAAAGGGTGGGCTTCCCTGGTGGCTCAGATGGTAAAGAATCTGCCTGCAATGTGGGAGACCTGGGTTCAGTCCATGAGTTGGAAAGATCCCCTGGAGAAGGGAACAGCTACCTACCCCGGTATTCTGGCTTGGAGAATTCTGTGGACAGAGGAGCCTGGCAGGCTACAGTCCATGGGTTTGCAAAGAGTCAGACATGACTGAGTGACTCACTTTCCTGGAAGAGTATCCCTGATCCCCAGTGGTCCATGGGTCATGCTGTGAGAACAGCTGCCTTAGATCATCTTGTGTTCCGAGTGCAATGCTGCTAGGAGCTTTAAGCACCCCATCATCTCAGCTAAGAAGCATTGATAGTGGAGGTAGTGGCCTGCAAACTTCATAATTTAGCAGTGAAGATAGGCGTGAAACAAAGAAGCTTTGACTTGTTTAATCTACCAACTGTTTATCGTCTAGCTTGTTTGCTTATTTATTTATATAACTTGGTTCATACAGTTTTTATTATAAGCTACAGTAGTGAACTCATCAATGCAATTTTATAAATATTTATATGGTATTAAATAGGTTGATGAGATAATCTTTCAGCTTGACAAATGAAGCTGTTCAGTTTCTATAGAGCTCTAAGTCGTCCAAAGATAAAAGTCACTTATAAGAGCAAAGAACAGGGACAGAAATCGATTCTGGTATCTCATGTGGGCAAAATCCATTTTCATGTTCCAAAATTATCATCACACCAGAATCTAAAAGATGTTATTATCAATATGAAATCTGTTTCTGTGAGTTGTTCAAAGTGGATATGATTTACTGGTTAGTAATTTCACAGAACAGGGAAGTTTCTGTATTTTTTTAGCATATGTTTCAATTCAGGTTAGTTTCAGGGTAAAGCATCAAAAAGATCAAAAAGCAGTTATGTGGGCAGGAATTATACTATAAACATTTTTGTTATGATCGTGAAGATCTACAAAAGGAGAATTTCGGGGTGTCTTCAAGTGCTGTGAAAGGGATTTCTTTATTTTAGTAGTAGCCAGTTAGAAAAAACTAGAAATCTATAGATAATGATACTTTAAGGGAACTAAGATGTGATATGTAGTTGCCTTGAGAGAGAAATCAGAAGGTTTGACCAAATATCTGCTAGGATTTCTTCTGGATAAAGTGCTCCTTGTCAGGGAACTTGTTTGAAATAGTCACCCTAAAAATAGTGATACAGCTCATTCTTTCAGACAACACTTATCTATTATTAATATTTATTATTATTATTATTATTATTTAAATGGAGGGCTGACTATATTCCAGGCACAACGTATTTGATCTGATAGAAAATTATGAATGTGTGTCAAATCTGAGTGTTGGAGTAAGCTATAAGTTTGACAGTAGTTCAGTAATACAGTGATATGATACAGGGAAGTGTTGACAAGCTTGAATGCCCACTTAGTCTTCCACTCCCTATTTACCTACTTTGACTCTGAGTAACTTGCACTTATACTCTTTTAGTATTCCACCCTCTGAGTAGATCCCAGGTGTTACACATCTCCTTCCATCCCGCTTCACTCATTTATCCAACAAATATTTATTAGTCGCTGCTTGTGTGCCAGGCTCTCTGCTAAACTAAGGATGCAGCCATGAACAAGACCCTTGGGCCCATGTGGCGCTTGCAGTCTATTTGAGGAGACAAAATTAGACACACAGTTGGATAAAGCAAGAGAACTGACCTAGACAAGTGATTTGGGACTTACTTACCCTCTGTCTCGTGTACAGTCAGGCAGCCAGAGTCACCAGGATGATGATCAGTTGTGCAAATCCAAGGGCCGAGGGGTATATGGAGCCTTGTTATGGTGACCAGATTTGCCTGGGACTTGACATTTCTGGCACATGAGTCTGTTAGTGTAAACCCAGGTAAACCATGATCATCCCAAGCTACCCCTATCCTAGGACATTTTCTATCAAGTGGAAGGCCAGAGGCTCCTTTGGAATTGATGGACCTTAAAGACAGTGCCTAGTAGTGACACAGAATTTCCCCTTCTTGCCATTTAAAGGAGGGTGGGTGGGATGCAAAGGATTAGACTGGAAAATGTATAATAAGCTTGGTCACAGCAGGTGAGTCCTGAGGGCCAGGTCTCCTCTGCCAGGGCAGAACATTGTTTAGTGTGACACTAGAGATTTCCAGTGGTTCCAAGCTCAGTAAGTATTCTTCAGTTACAGAGGGAAATGTGATTAAATGATTTTACTATGGTTACAGAGCTAGTTGAGAGACTAGGTGATGCAAATCTGGTTTCCATAGAAACAGACTCTGAGATGATGATTCTGTTGCCAATGATTTATTAGAGCTTGCTTTTGGGAGCAAGGAAAGCATGACTGGGGAGACATAGGTTGAATTGTGATGTGTTTAGCCAGGAAACTCTAAAGTGGGGATGGGCATTCAGAGATGTGTGGATTGAGGCAAGAGGTCTGGGTCCTTGAGTCATTGTATGTAGATTGACCCTGGGAAGAAGCCTAACCTTTTGACTGAGAGTAATTTCTTTCATTCATTCAGCTGGGGCAGTGAGTACTTAGTTCTAAACACTAGACCTGAGTGGCACATATTCTAGATACCAGGTCTTTGAGTTTCTGTTCAATGTTTCCATGATACCATGTGTCAGCACTTAATCAAGAAGTGCCCGTTTCTTTCGACTGTTGACTTAGTATGTAATAAAGAAAAATTTCCTGCCTTCAGAAAGATGCTGATTGATACGTAAAATCATAAAGTTGTTAATAATGAATGAATCTGTAGATGCAAATGGGATATAATTACTGTGTTGTGCTTTCACTGAAAAGACAGTGATTATTTCAGGTGGAAGCTGACTTTTAAAATATAAGCAGTGATATACCCATAAGCAAGTAATCAGATTTTTTTTTTACAATTCCAGCTTCTACCAAAATAACATGTGAGGTGACATTTTCCTACCAGCTTAGAAAGTATTCTGTGGACATCTAAGAAATTTCAACAGAAAGTTAACAGAAGAAATTGGAGAAATGTGTCTAAAAACTTAGTTTTTTTAAAAAGATATTTTTTAATGTGAACAGTTTTTAAAGTCTTTAATGAATTTGTCACAATATTGCTTCTGTTTTATGTTTTGGACTTATTTTTGGGTTGCAAGTCATGTGCGATCTTAGCTGCTTGGCCAAGGATGGAATTCATGCCCTTACACTGGAAGGCAAAGCCTTAACCACTGGATGGCCAAGGAAGTCCCTAAAAACTTAACTTAGAAGATTCCATCAATTCTTTTTTTAAGTAATAAGTCTCTAGGTCAAGTTTTCAAACTATTCAATTTCTTGCTATATGTCAATATAGCATGATGTAAAAAAAAAAGATCACCATGTTTCATTATATAAAATCAGTCCATTTAGAGTTGAGTCAGTTATGAACAAAAGATAGATAACTGTTTTCTTGCCTCTAAATCTGCTATGGTGAAATTGTAGAATTGCAGCCTTTAAACACAGCTACATATTATAACCACCAGGGAAATATTAAAAAATGCTCAGACTCCACCCCAGACATAATGCATTAGAATCTTGATGTGGCCCTATATATAACTTGAATTTTGGCCAAGCTCTGAAAGTAATTGGAAATTTACAGTTAACTGGGCACTAAGCCAATGCCCTGCTTTACTTTGGGGAAGTTCTGAGTGAGAGGACAACTTCAGTTGTGGGTGGTGTTTTGTTGTAGCTGACTTTTTTTTTATTGTGGTAAAACACATATAACATAAAATTTATCACTTGAGCCAATTTTAAGTGAACAGTTCAGGAGCATTAAGTAAATTCACATGGTTGTGCAGGTACCACCACAATCCATCTGCAGAAAATATTCAGCTTCCCCAACTGAAACATGATACCCATTAAACAATAAATTCCAGTTCTCTTCTATCCCCAGCCCCCTAGCAACCACAGTTCTATTTTCTGTCTCTGTGGATTTGATTGTTCTAGGAACCTCATACCACCGGAATCATATAGTATCCTTTTGTGACTGGCTTATTTCACTCAGCATAGTGTCTTCAAGGTTCATCCATCTTATAGCATGTGTCAGAATTTCCCTTCTTTTAAAGGCTAAGTAATATTCTATTGAATGTATATACAATTGAATGTATATACAGCATCGTAGATGGGTACTTGGGTTGCTTCCACCTTTTGCTATTGTTAATCATGCTGCTTGAAAATGGATGTACAAATATCTGTTTGAGTCCTCACTTTCAGTTCTTTTGGGTATATACCCAGAGGTGGAATTGCTGGATCATATGATAGCTCTATTTTTAAATTTTAGGGGAGTCCCACAACATTTCCCTCAACAATCTCATCATTTTAGCCATAAAAGGGCCAATTTTTCCTTATTATCACTAACACTTATTATTTTCTTTTTTCTTTTTTAAAATAACCATCCTAATGGGTGTATAGTGGTATCTCAATTTGATTTACTTTTCCCTACATGATTTCTATATGATTTGTGATATAGAGAATTTTTAAAGTGCTTATTAGTCATTTCTCTTTGGAGAAATGTCTATTCCAATCAGTTTATATTTCAATAAATCCCCTAGATTTATTGAAATATAATTGACATATAAAAATGTACCTATAGTATAATGTTTTAAAACATGTATACATTGTGAAATGATTACCATAATCAAGCTAATTGACATATCCATCATTTCTCATAGGTTTCATTTTTTGTGTGTATGTTGGTGAGAACACTGAAAGTTTATTCTCAGCAAATTTCAAGTAGAGATCCTCCTTGACTTACAATGAGGTTAAGTCTTGATGGTAAGTTGAATATTAGTATATGCAGTATTTACGGTATATGTCAGTATATCTTAAAGAGCCATATATATATATATAATAATACGTATATTCTCCTGGTTTAGTCATTTGCCAGAATCCACAGGCCTAGTCACAGAATTAGCCCAGGCAATTTTGGAAAACTCTAGTCATGATCGATAAAATTTATCTAGGCAGGAAGGTAACAGGATGGCTTGGCTGTAGGTACCAGACACGGGCTTCCTGTAAAGAATGACTCAACAGGAAAGAATCTGCCTCCCATGCAGGAGACACAGGAGATGTTGGTTCGATCCCTGGGTCAGGAAGATTCCTTGGAGAAGGAAATGGCAACCCACTCCAGGATTCTTGCCTGAAAACTCCCATGGACATAGGAGCCTGGCCTGGTGGGCTACAGCCCAAAGGGTCACAAAGAGTCAGAGATGAGCGACTAAGCACTCACCAGGCATTAAGTACAAATACTTGCATTTTCCCAGGGACCTTCCAGAGAATGATCTCATTTAATGGAAGGTTATAATAGTGAGGATTTCAGGTCCTATGTCAAGCCAGAAGTGCAAAAATTTAGGGGCAAATCACACTATCTAGGTACCTGATTGCTAGTTTTGATTTTATGATTAGTCCCAAATCTGAACAACCCATGTCTTCCAGGAAGTTAGACTACTTATTTCTTTATGAGGTACTTTGAATTGCAGAGTTCATTGGGCTGAAGTAAAGCCAGTGAATTGGCAGGTGAGTAGAATTGTGCTTTACATTCAAGCCCCACTTTCTCTGACTAATCTCCCCACCCTCCCCATTCTCTCCACCCCGTTTCTCACTTGTTCTCACATCTGCTGGAACTGTTTTCAGAATTAATTGTTTGGGCAACTCATTTTGACATAACTGGCAGGTTGACTCATGTGAATAGTTAAATTAATCATGGGTTAAAAGTTTGTCATTATGATAGCACATTAGAGCTATCATAACTCCAGTGTTGTCTTTGCATGAATTTTCCTTCCTTGTCCTCAGCTGAACATCTCATTTTCAATTTAAATGAGAGGTTCCTGAATCTGTCTTTCCTGTCTTGTTCACTGTTCCGGTTTAATTCACTATCTTCATTGCTAAGCTAATTGGAGTTAGAATGTTATTTCCTCTGTTTTAGAAGAGATAAAAAGTGGCTAGACTATGATTCAGAGTTAAATAAGATAGTTCCTGTATCTATTTTACAGTAAACATGATTATAATCTTTTGGGTATATTAAGTGTTCTGTTTCTGGGGATGATAGGTTCAGAGCTTAAAGGAGCTCAATTGTGATTTGTTGAGACCAACCTATAATAATTTGTTACATTGAAGAGCTTCTTAGTAGTGACTTGGAAGCTATCCTCTTCTTTGGAAATAAAACAAATTGAGAGGACTTCCCTGGTGGTCCACTGGTTAAGAATCTGCTTTTCAATACAAGGCATGCAGGTTCGATCCTCGGTTGGGGAACTAAGATCCCACATGCCGCAGGGCAACTAAAGGCCTTCAACTAGACAGCTAGTGCACCACAATAAAGATCCAGCACAGCCAAAAAACCCAAACAACACCCCCCCCCAAGAGAAACAAAAAAAAAAGCAAATTGAAAATTTGATGGATATATGAGATGAAATATATAAAATGGACATAAAAGTGGGACTTAACATTTATTCATCTTTGAATGCCTAGTATGTAAGTGCTCATGAAATATTTGGCTGATTTAAAGGTGTTTCCCTTGTTTACCTCCCTTTATCTATCAGTCACCTACATAAATGGCATGATTTACGAGATACTGAAAGGTCCACTTGCTTTCCAGTTTTTGCCATGCTAGTTTGACATGGTATCTGAAATCTTTATTGTAATAACCATTCCCTGGAAGGTTTCTGAGAATATGCAAATATTAGCATTTTCTCTTAGTACTTTCTGCCATTTACCTCCCTAATAAAATTGCTCACTATTATTGATGCTACTCTCACTTTGCCTATTCAAACCATTCGTATCTCCCTCCAAAGAACTTTCTATAGCACCATATTTAATGAGATGGTGATTGTCTCTACCTCTGGTATGGTCCCATTCAACCTTGAAGTAGGATTTAGTTATTTTTCACATTTCTCCAAAGACAAAGATAATCGGGGGCTTATTTTAAGGAGTCTTCCAAGATTGTTTCTTTCCAGGTTCTTTTCTAATAGACCCACTTGATACTTCGGCTTGTACCTCACTGGAACTTAGCTACAGGCCGTACCTATCTACAAGGAAGGCTGGGAAACATGGTCTGTATTTCAGGCAGTAATGTACTTGAGTATAGATTGGGATCTCTACCAAAGAAGAAGGTATGAATAACTATTTGCAGGCAGCCAACTGTTCTTGCCCTGTGACTCCATACTGTCTTTCAGGTATTCCTTCTCACATGGCCTGTCTGGAAAGTGTACTGCTTGGGATGGCCTGATGAGCAGAAAAGCATATGACACATGCAACTCTTCAGATACCACATGGAAACCAAAAGTCAGCTGACGTCTCAGCCTTTCAATATGCTCTGCTTCTGTTGTGGGGAATTTTCCTGTCCTGTTCCTTCCTGCTTGCCATATTGAGGGACCTGCCATCGCTTCAAATGCCCTTGATACTTGTTTTCTTCCTGTTTCCCAGCCTTACATCCTGCTTCTTCCTCTTCAAGGGTATGTTTTGTTTTGCCACCATTGGCTTGTCCTCAGCTCTCTCTTTTATACTTCCCATAGTTACTTTGAAATTAGCACCTCCAAAATAATTTTAGTCTTAGTGGTGGAGGTTGATGATGGGAGAGAATGGGCAGACGTGTATGTGGGGATGTTATTAGGTCTTCTTCCAGACTTACCTCCTCTGCCATACCTGTCATTATTGTCCTTCTTCTGTAAGAGACTCTCTTTAGTCACAGAACTTGGCTTGAACTCTGCCTACAGCAATTCCAAGCACTACCTCAATTATTGTTAGTTACAGTTGAATGAATGAATGATTCCTCCATTTACTTTCTAGCATAAATTCTTTATTTCAGATGGTTGGGGTTTTTGACTTTCCCTTCCCTTTCATTTCCCAAGCTCAAAATTAGTGGTTTGTGGAATCTCTCCTACTTTTGTCATTTTTTTCTCTTGCTATTCCCCACTCATCTGTGTCAATTCTTTCAATCAATATTTTACCTGATTCTCAAACAGTAGCTCAGTAACAACCAAGCACTTTATGCTGTCTTCCCTGACTCTTCAGTTCAGACACTCAGTTGTGTCCAACTCTTTATGACCCCATGGACTGCAGCATGCCAGGTTTCCCTGTCCTTGACAATCTCATGAAGCTTGCTCAAACTCATGTCCATTGAGTCAGTGATGCCATCCAACCATCCAAGCCTCTGTCGTCCCCTTCTCCTTTCTGCCTTCAATCTTTCCCAGCATCAGGGTCTTTTCCAGTGAGTCAGTTCTTCGCATCACAGTGGCCAAAGTCTTGGCATTTCAGCTTCAGCATCAGTCCTTCCAATGAATATTCAGGACTGATTTCCTTTAGGATTGACGGTTGGATCTCCTTGCAGTCCAAGGGACTCTCAAGAGTCTTCTCCAACACCATAGTTCAAAAGCATCAATTCTTCGGTGCTCAGCTTTCTTTATAGTTCAACTCTCACATCCATACATTACCACCGGAAAAACCATAGCCTTGACTAGACTTGGCATGTCTTGGCAAAGTAATGTCTCTGCTTTTTAATATGCTGTCTAGTTTATCATAGCTTTTCTTCCAAGGAGCAAGCATCTTTTAATTTCATGGCTGCAGTCACCATCTGCAGTAATTTTGGAGCCCCCTAAAATGATCTCTTTCATATTAGAATACTTTGAACACTGGTAGTTTGTATTACACACTCAAACAGTTGACTATGTTATATCATTTATCTAGTTATTTCATGAGAATAATAGCTCCTCAATAGCACTGTAAGATTTTAGACAGTAGGAACTATGTGATTTATCAATCTCCTACCTACCAGCTACCTTTCTTTCTTTTATCTATCATCTATCTATCTGTCTATCTTCTATCCATCTGTCTATATTCTACTCAATATTTAGGGTAGTATTGGAAAGATAGTTGTCATTATATAAACATCAGTCACCTTGACAAATAAAACAGGGTGAAAATAACCTATAAAAGAAGAGACATACTACACTTTAATGAATCATCATGTTCATGCTCAGTAGCTCAGTCATGTCCGACTCTTTGTGACCCCATGGACTATAGACTTCCAGTCTCCTCTGTCCATGGCATTTTCCAAGCAAGAATACTGAAGTGGGTTGCCATTTCCTGCTTCAGGGGACCTTCCTAACCCTAGGGGATCAAACCCACACCTCCTGCATCTCCTGCATTGGCAAGTGGATCCTGTACCAGTGAGCCACCTGGGAAGCCCGATGAGTGTAGAGAAGGACTATAGTCCTGGTGAGGAGGTCACCGTTAGTCATCGTGATGACACAGCAGTGGGTGGGCACGGCAGCTGCTGTGGAAGCTGCACCTGCCATCCGTCCCTTCACTGCGCAGCGGGGAGGCCGTGGTCCTGGTGCTACAGAGACAGCAAGAGAACCATCATGGCCTCTCAGGAGAAGACAGAAGCCACAGAGGCTCTGCCTGGCCGGTGCAGGAGAGTAGAGGCACTTAAGGGCCCTGTACACTTATCTGTGGCGAGACACTCTGGAGTCCTCTTCACTGGCTCAGAATTTCCAGAATGTTCCAGAGAAACTGAGAAGGAATAAGACTGATTCACCATTGAATAACGATAATAATCCTGATGATGAGAATAGCTAGCACACCTGCTAATGATGTGCCAGGAGCTGTTCTAAGGGCTTCACAGACACATTAACTGAGGCCTACCGCCACCCACTGCCCATTAACCCCCCAAGCACCTGTTGGCCATTGCTGGCCTCTCGAGCCTGGGAGGGTGCTGAAGAGTGTGTGGGGAGCAGAGAGGAGCTGAGGACTGCCTTGGAGAGCAAGTCTGTAGATTG